GGCTCTGAGTTCCTGTGAAGCAAGTGGCCACGGGAGTTGAGAAAAACAAGAATGAAGTAGACAGGAGGGTTGTGCTATGAAGCACACTCAGTGTTGTGGGTGTTCAGTAGAGGGAATGATTCTTCCACTAGTGTGGCAGGGAGTGTGTGGGGCCATGAAGAATTGTCAAGTTTGGGGCCAGGCACAGTGGCTCACCCCTGCAGTCCCAGCGCTTTGGGAGACTGAAGCTGGCCAATCACCTGAGGTCGGGAGTTCAAGACCAGCCTGGCCAACATAGTGAAACCCGGTCTCCACTAAAAATATAAAAATTAGCGGGGCATGGTGGTGCATGCCTGTAATCCCAACTACTCGGGAGGCTGAGGCAGGAGAATTGCTTGAACTCTGGAGGCGGAGGTTGCAATGAACTAAGATCGCGCCACTGCATTCCAACCTGGGCAACAGAGTGAGACTCTGGGGAAAAAAAAAGAAAAGAGAAAAGAAAAGAATAGAATTGTCAACTTTGCACCAGCAGAGATTGAGAAGGGAGAATCCCAGATGTGCCCAGCCTAAGGAATGCTTGTGGCAAAAAGTGAATCACTGGTTTCTCGGGAGCCTCCTTTGGTTATGAAGGGGTGAGGAGTAGGAATCAGGCTGGAAAAGCAGGTTGGCACTGGCCTATGGAGAACCCCAAAAGACCAGTGTATGAATGGGGCCTTGGTTCCTGAGGCAAGGAGGCCACCAGGCTACCACCTCATCTGTGGCTCCGGAGCAACTATTCCATAGCCCTGTGCCCCCAGTTTCTCTATCACTTGCATCACAATTAATATTATTCCATTTATATAAAAGAAGGACCACACTGAACTTTCACGAGTGGTGGTGGAGGTAAGGCAGGAAGCCGACAATTGGGTGCCACCACTCCGTGAAGGTCTCTGCGTCTCTGGGTGCTGGAGATGCAGGCGGTGGCAGAGCAGGGCAGAGTGTCCTCCTGTTTCCTGTTCTAGGTGGACTGTGAGCTTTGGTTTGGACTGGGAATGAATGGCCTTTGGGGAGAAACTGTTGCTCTTCGAATTCAGAGGAACACACATATCTTCCCAAGCATTTCCCTTTGCCCTCCATTGAGGCTGACGGCTCTCTGCCCTGGCACCTCCTAGACTATGAATGATTAAAGGTTATGTCTTATGTCTCTTAGCAGTGCTGAGCAGAGTGCTTTATACATCATGAGGTCTGGATCAGTGTGTTGTGTGTGTGTGTGTGTGTGTGTGTGTGTGTGTGTGTGTGTGTGTTTAGAGACAGGGTCTTGCTCTGTCACCCAAGCTAGAGCACAGTGGCACAGTCATACCTCAATGTAACCTTGAACTCTGGGGCTTAAGTGAGATTCTCCTGCTTCAGCCTCCCAAGTCGTTGGGATGTCAGGTGTACACCACCATGCCTACCTAATTTTTTAATGTTTTTAGAGATGGGGGTCTCACTATGTTGCCTGGGCTGGTCTTGAACTTGTGGCCTCAAGCAATCCTCCTGCCTCAGCTTCCCAGAGTGCTGGGATTAAAGGCATGAGCCACTGCACCCAGCTTAGATACGTATTTGAATGGGTGGATTTATGATCTACTTGTAGCCAAGTGGAAATGTTTCAGGCAATTACTGAGTTCTTATTCCTCTTGTGTCCCCTCTGCAGCTGGAGCTCTCAAACACTGCTGTCCTGCACCAGATGCGGCGGGACCAGGTGACAGACACGTGCCGAGCCAACAGCGCCACAAGCCGTAAGCGGAGGGTGCTGACCCCCAACGACCTGAAGCACTTGGTGGTGGATGAGGACCACGAGCTCATCTACTGCTACGTGCCCAAGGTGGCCTGCACCAACTGGAAGCGGCTCATGATGGTCCTGACTGGGCGGGGGAAGTACAGCGACCCCATGGAGATCCCGGCCAACGAGGCGCACGTCTCCGCCAACCTGAAGACCCTGAACCAGTACAGCATCCCAGAAATCAACCACCGCTTGAAAAGCTACATGAAGTTCCTGTTTGTCCGGGAGCCCTTCGAGAGGCTGGTGTCCGCCTACCGCAACAAGTTCACCCAGAAGTACAACATCTCCTTCCACAAGCGGTACGGCACCAAGATCATCAAACGCCAGCGGAAGAACGCCACGCAGGAGGCCCTGCGCAAAGGGGACGATGTCAAATTCGAGGAGTTTGTGGCCTATCTCATCGACCCACACACCCAGCGGGAGGAGCCTTTCAACGAACACTGGCAAACCGTCTACTCACTCTGCCACCCCTGCCACATCCACTATGACCTCGTGGGCAAGTACGAGACACTGGAAGAGGATTCTAATTACGTCCTGCAGCTGGCAGGAGTGGGCAGCTACCTGAAGTTCCCCACCTATGCAAAGTCTACGAGAACTACTGATGAAATGACCACAGAATTCTTCCAGAACATCAGCTCAGAGCACCAAACGCAGCTGTACGAAGTCTACAAACTCGATTTTTTAATGTTCAATTACTCAGTGCCAAGCTACCTGAAATTGGAATAAAGGGGGTGGGGAGAGGGAGAGAATCATGCTTTTTAATTTAAGATTTTTATTTGTCAAAAGAATTATATGGATATTGGGTTATTTTGTAAATTAATATTTCTTTGGGGATGATGCTGCGAGCAGCATAGTGAGAATTATTTAAAATCCTTCGTAGGGAAGGACAGCTGTCTTTGCAGGGGAAATAGGATGGGTCGTCCTTGTCTGTAGAAGTGAATACTGCAACACTGTCTCAAAGGTTTCCTTGTGTTCTGGTGAATTCCATGAATTGTGCATTCCATAAATTCTAATTAATATTATTTATAGTTATTTAAACATGGTCTCATTATTTCTTTTTGTGGCAGCAAAATTCTGACGTCTTTCCAGAAGAAATCTATGTTTCCTGCTTTGCTTGCTACAGCTCATTTGGGGGCATGAATGTTCTCCTTACTAACCTTTCATGGAGTCATGTGATAACAGCCATTGTCATGTGTACAGATGCCACCATTCTTGAATTTCTGCTAGAAATAACTAGGTTGCTATTGCACTTAGAGGCATCTTTGCAAGGGAGTCATTCCAAACCAATTCCAATTGACCTGAAAGTCCCTTGCACTAAAGAAATGTTATTTTTTTTTAACCCAAGGAGAAAGTTGATTGTAGCAATTTTTCACCAGAAATAGCAATCTGATACAATAGGCTTTTTTAACAGGAATTTTAAACTGGCAGTGCCAGTCGTGGTGAAGGTGAAGTGGCTGTTGCTTTATATTTGACAAGTATTTATTGAGCATCTACTCTATACTAGGCCCTGAAGATAGAGTGTTGAACAAACCCAATAGTCTTGGCCCTCAAAAAGCTTTAACGTGACATAGAGCATCCAGCTCGACAATTAGCAAACCCCTGATATTCATGGACTTGACATGAGGTTTGGACTATTCATGAGCAACACCAGAGGGTCCATGACCCCTACACATTTTCATTTTTCTATGGCCCAAATTTGAAAACCTCACATTCGGAGCAGGCCACTTTATCTTCATGAGTGATCCCAAGCTCATTGCCCAACAGAAAAGATGCTAAAAAAATGTTTCCTATCATGTGCCTGCTCCAATTGATGGGTAATGTCTGCCTTTAAGCCCCAGAATGGATTCTCCAGGCACAGTGTGGAAGAGTGCAATGTGATTAGCAATGTCTGCCTTGGGTGAGGAAAGGGGAACACTCCTCAAGTGCCTCCTACTGTCATCTCCATCCAGCCTAGCACCACATCCCCGTTTAGAAGTGTTGTCTTCTACTGCTTGCCACATACAAGTGTGAAATGCCAAGGTGAGACTCGTACATTTGGGGATTTGCAATGGTTTTTGCCCCTCATGAAGGTCAGAGGTGGACCATTTGTACACATAGGCACATGCACACCCTCCCACATCCTCCAGAGGCTGAAAGACCATCAGCACCTTGGTAACTGCCATGCATGAGCAGCAAAGACAGCCTTCCATGCTGTTAATCCATGCCCCATTTCCTCTGGACGCCTGGAAACTTCATTTCCTGTTCCTTGCTAATTAACATCTAAACACGTTTCTCATTTCCAGCCATTGCTGATGCTTCTCGGTTGAAGTTTGAGCCACATCCCTCTTACAGCTAGTGAATGAGTTGGTAGCAGATACTGTATATAATAATAATAATAGTTTTAATAATAGGGGAGGGTGGGATGGGGTGTGGGTAAGTTTTGCCTTTTGTTTTGTTTTTGATGCAGTATATAGTGAAGGGGTGAGGATATTCTAAACAAACAAAAATTGAATAATTTATTCACAGAAACTATTAAGATTGTATTGTAAAGCTCACAGCAAGCTCAGTGGGCAGCAGCTGCAACATCTCACCAGGGAAATTATTTTCTTTAACATGAGTGAGATGTGGGCCGGAGAAGTTAGCTGGAGCTATTTATAAAACGTTGTGTACCTTCTTCCGAGCTCTCTCCCCTTTGTGAAGGGCACAGCAACTATACCCTTGATGGATGGAGATTTATGCAGTGTGTTTTACCAGGTAGAGTGACAGACCTTGGCTGTCCCTGGAATTGAGAATCTGGACCTTATTTCCAGGCAGGGAACACTGTCCTCAGAAATGGGACTTCTGATAACGAAACAGGTTGTCCAACATTTTCTAATACGTACTCTACAGAACACAGGTTCCAGGAGGCATCAGGTTGGTGTGATGCAAACTAAGGGTTTTGTGGTCAAATATCCTTAAGAAACAAAGTTAAGTCAGTTTCCTTTCTGTAGGACTTTTCAGAGCCTTGAATGTGTGCTGTGCATGGTGAATCCCCAAAACTAATCCTTGAGTCTGTAGCATTTCCTGAACGTACATGACCAGGATACTTTATTTTGCAGATCACCCCCACAGAGCTAGGGTTCCACCAAGTATACTTTGCTTAAGCTGAGTTAGCATATCTGAGGTCGTTGAGGATAAAAACTGCCACCCCAACACCCTTCCATTAAAAAAAAAAATACAAACTAGCACGACAGTCTCCATCTGGTTTATATAGCAAGAGGTACTTTATTAAATGAATTAAGCTTTTACTTAAGTGCAATGGTTCTAATCCTGGATACTGCCATGGACTACGATTCCATCCCTCCCAGAGGGAGTGGAGGAAGTCTTGGGTGGTGTGGACAGAAGGAAGAGAGGAGAGGGCGAGTAGGGTATAGGGCCCAGGGTGGCTCCCTCCTCCTCAAGCTCAAAAGGGTGCTCAGTGGGAACAGATGATCTCTTGATGAGTGTTTCTTCAGTTTCATAGTTTGGAATCGTTCCCTGTGCTTTTTGGGGGATTTTCAATGGAAATTCATGTTGCTTTGCATTTCTATGTCCGTCTTTGATCAGTTGTACAAGCCAGCTCACTGTCATGTGAAGATGGCCTTCTTTCATCCGGCTTCTCTCTCTTAAGTGAGAAAGATTGTCCTTCAGGGGACATGACATCAATAGATTTCTGGAATGAGGGACTCTTTCTCCCCGTGTTTTGCTTTGTGTTCACATTTTCTTTTCTAATGGCATTGAAACTTAAAAAAAAAAAAATGGATTCAACTGTTTTTTGCAGAATGTATAAATTCTGTGTCCTTGGTTAAAGAAATCCACTGGTGAAGTGTGCCTGGAAAATGAAAGTTTGTGTTTTTTAAAGAGGAATATTTGAAACTACTTTCTATGCATGCTTAGCTGGAGAAAAGTACAGGCAGGCGTTCAATCTCCCAGCCACTTCTCAAAGGTGCTGCTGTGTTTTAAAGACCAGGTACAGCCAGGGCAGAATTTGCAAGGACATTCCTGCTTACTTTATCCCTTTGGTTGGAAAGCTCTAGATGATTCCCGCAGCTCCTCCAGACCCCGCCTCCCTGCCCTCCCCAGCTGGTCTGGGAAGAAGGTGGTCTGCTGACCTGTAGTGTCTCAGAGGGGACGTTCCTCCTCCTCCCTGTGCACCAGGTGAGCTGCACCCTCCTGCCTATTCAGGATGTGGATGCCACAGGAGAGCAGCGGGCAGTGGAAACTTCAGTTGCAAGTTGCACCGGTTCACCTGGTGGCAAAAGCATGAAGCACAGGGGTCTAATCCTGGCTACTAGAAAGCTCCAGAACAAAGTGTGTGGGTCCCACAAATGCTTGGCTGGTGGGGTCTCGATCAGCGCTGAGATAGAGTTGGCAGAAGAAGCCGAGAGACTCTGCTTGCTTTCCTAGCCAGTCCTCCCCTACATACACACACACATACACACACACACACACACAATCTCAGCTGCCCCATTCTGTGCAATCCCAGTGACCAAATCCCTTCCTTGCCCACTTCTATGTCAGCAGGACTGACCACATCACTCCCCCAAGTTCCCACCACCAGCATTTCCTCCAACCTTTTTCCATCACAACCAGTTAGAACCCTACAGGCAACAAGGCCTTCTAGAATCCGCTTGACCCTTGGCTGATAACAGGCAAACGTCAGTCTGCTATACTTTGTTAGGTCCAGAAGGAGCTGCCCATACTAATTTCTTATGAGCATGCTCAGTATGGCATATGGACATGTAATTTCACATCTTTGTGGAGTGTGATTTTCTTTTTTTACATATTTGTATGCAGTAGAGGGCCTGTTGTAGAAAACGCTCCCTGTATCTTGCTGTACTGTTAAAGAAAGCTGAATTCCACATTGCCAACAAAAGCGTGAAAATGTTCATGAACCTTCCTCCAGGAAAAGCCATTCAAGCCTGATTATTTTTCTAAGTAACTTCAATTAAATTGAAGAAAAAAAGAAGCTGCTTTCTGTGTATGGTTTGTTCATGGCTCATTAACAAAAGACTGTAGGGGTGGGGTGGGCCGTGGACTTTAGCATGCGGGGGGCCCTGCTCATGTGTATCAAAGGATGAACATGCGGGCTCCGTTGGCAGACTCAGCCCTGGTAAAAACTGCCATAGATCCGAATTCTTTCTGTTTATCGGGTGAATGGAAGCTTTTCTTCATTCCATTTTTTCTATAAGCTCTTTGTAGAGTAACGCATTAGAAGGTCCACTGTGATCACACAGTTCCACTACTCTTGCGAAGAGGCCATGAAGGCTGTCAGTAAATGGCTTTGGTGGCAGAGCCAGTATTCAAGCCCAGGCTGATGCGCCTTCAGAACCCCATGTTTTTGGCACTGAACAACATGCCTCTCTAAATGGCCATCCATGGTGCCACTGCTAGGAAGTTGCAAGCCAGGAAGCTGCAAGCCTGCACTTCAAGTCCCAGTTTTTCAATCCATATCCAATCCTGTTCTGATTCCCCACAGAGCTTCTTTTGGCTCTATGGATGAGCATCTTTTAGCTTCTTTTTTTTTTTTTTTTTGAAACGGAGTCTTGCTCTGTTGCCAGGAGGGAGTGCAGTGGCGAGATCTCAGCTCACTGCAATCTCCACCTCCTGGGTTCAGGCGATTCTCCTCCTTCAGCCCCAGAGTAGCTGGGACTACAGGTGCACGCCACCACGCCCAGCTAAGTTTTGTATTTTTAGTAGAGATGGAGTTTCACCATATTGGCCAGGATGGTCTCGATCTCTTGACCTCATGATCCACCCGCCCCGGCCTCCCAAAGTGCTGGGATTACATGCATGAGCCACTGTGCCCGGCCGTATCTTTTAGCTTTATTGGTAAAAATGATTTCTGTATATTTTTCCAAAGAAGAAATTATACTCAATGTTGTTTCTGTATTTCATTGTATTCTAATTTAATTTTAAGAGACAAGGTCTCACTCTGTCACCCAGGCTGGAGTGCAGTGACACGATCATAACTCACTGCAGCCTTGACCTGGGTGCAAGTGATCTCCTGGCACAGCCTCCAAAATACCCAAGGATTATAGGCATGTGCCACCATGCCCGGCTAACCGATTTCTTTAAACATAACATCTAAACATTTTTAACATTAAAATATTGGGTGAGAAAATAGATCCCATTTTCAACCATGCTAGATATGGTTTCTAATCACCAGCTGGCTTTCCCCACTGGTAGCTAGTGCCCACCCATGGGCATGATACCCAAAAAGACCAGGAGCCACTGGCTAACAATACATTTGGCCAAGAATACATTGCTGGTGTCATCACTGTCCTTGCTATGGTCCCATCTGGTTGGGAAATGCCCAGATCACAGAGCTTAGTCATCTTAGATTCATAGAAAACATACATCCTTTTTCATCAGTGAATGGATGTGACTTTGCTATAGCCTGTCTCTGTCTCTTTTGGAACATTGTAAATGTCAGTGGGAAGCAAAGCTAGACAAGGTCATCTCTAGCCTGTTTGCTCCCCTTGGAGTGAGACTAACATGCTTTCTTGCCAGCTAATCGGGAGGTGTTTCTGATGGCGCCCCAGGTGCCCTCTGTCTGACCTGCAGAAGCTGCAGAACCCGAGAAGCCTGTGGCCCAGAACACTGCCCGGGCCAGGTCAGGGTAAGGTTATTATTGTTCCCCCAAGTGGACAAAAATAGGATGAGGCAGAATCATTAGTGTAAGATGTAAAGTACTCTTTCTCGGGAAGAATTCCTTCTTCTCAAGTTACGTCTTTCCTACATTTTTGGATTAGAATACCTTTTCTTTTTTTGTTATGTTTTGTTTGTTTGTTTGTTTGTTTGTTTTTGAAATGGAGTCTCGCTCTGTGGCCAGGCTGGAGTGCAGTGGCGTGATCTTGGCTCCCTGCAACCTCCACCTCCCAGGTTCAAGCGGTCCTCCTGCCTCAGCCTCCCAAGTAGCTGGGACTACAGGCACCCACCAACATGCCCAGCTAATTTTTGTATTTTTAGTAGAGACAGGGTTTCACCATGTTGGCCAGGATGGTCTCGATCTCTTGACCTTGTGATCCGCCTGCCTCGGCCTCCCAAAGTGCTGGGATTACAGGCATGAGCCACCGTGCCCAGCCTCTTTTATGATAATAGATGTTAATTGATACCAGGACATAAAATATTGGTAACTTAGGGTCAGCCCCCAATGTCATTTTAAACATTTTCTGAAAAAGTCATGATATCCAAAAAGACCAGGAACCATTGGTCAAGAATACATCTGAGTCATGAAGCGATGGGAGAGAAACCTCAGGGCCTGGTGGACAGAACTCTGTGGAAATCCTTTCTGAAGCACAGTCCTGAGTGCCCCACAGCTGGACCCCACAATGTGGCCAGTGGCTATGGCCTTCGCGTTCTGGGGTGACTTACAAGAAGCTGAACACTGGGCTAGCTACATTCACTGTAGATAGTTCATCAGACATCTTAGGTCTGGGGTGATGAATACGTCTGGTGTAATGCGAAAAAGGAACATTCTAGCAAGGCTGAGATGAGAAAAACAACCACCTTTTCCCTATTTCACAATCTTCACCTAGCGCCTGCCTCTTCCCCAAATTGTAAGAACCCACAGGTGGAGAAAGCAGTCAGAGGATGTGAGTGAAGGCCACCTGCTGGTTCCCAATGCGTTGCTGGCTGAGAACCGTTCCCAAACAAACTCCCTTAGTCACTTCCTCTTTGAAACAGGGAAAACAGTAATATCTGGATTGTGCCACGATTGAAAAGAACCCTGTCCTGGCTGCAGTTCATCCACCAAGGAGCTGTCTGCAACCTACAGGTAATTACTTCCTAGGTGGGGAGGGGACCTCCATTTCCTCATCTGCGGAACAAAAGAGCTATATCTGTGGTTTTCAATGCGGTGTTTAAAAATGAGCCTCTTAAAAATTCTTGCATTCTGAACACTCATATGTAGAACAGATGCAGCAGAGATGCTGTGATTGAATGGGTCGAGGCCCAACTCTGCCTCTTTTTTCCCATAAAGTCCCTGTAAACCTTCATGGGCCGTAAGGTTCTAAGGAAAACAGTTTGAGAAGCGGTAAGTCATGTGACCTCTGAGCCTTTTCTGCTTTGACTTCTCTAATGATCTACCTGAATCCTCTGTGGCTTCTGCTGCTTTAGGCCTAAGAGATTGACCGGTTAGATGGTACCACGCAGGTAAAAACTGCTTTGAGAAGGGAGTTAAAGGGATGATGGTAGACGGAGATTAAGATGGAAGAACAGAAATTATAAGAAAAAAAAGAAAGAAAGAAAAAGAAAAACGTAAAAGCTGATGCAGGAAAGAGATAGCTCATAGCTAGATTCAAGATGGTAACCGAAATTTACACTCCTCTTTCCAAACGCTCTACCATGGAAACACAGGCTCCACCTTTCTACAAAACCCTATTATTTTGAAATACAAGAGACTGGAATGAAAAACTGTCTCTGCATTAATCTGCTTTTTATTTTTCCATGTTTTATTTGTTTTTTGTTGTTGTTGCTGCTGTTGTTTTTTGACACAGAGTCTCCCTCTGTCGCCCAGGCTGGACTGCGGTGGCGCGATCTCGGCTCACTGCAAGCTCCGCCTCCGGGGTTGACGCCATTCTCCTGCCTCAGCCTCCCGAGTAGCTGGGACTACAGGCGCCCACCACCTCGCCCCGCTAATTCTTTGTATTTTTAGTAGAGACGGGGTTTCACCGTGTTAGCCAGGATGGTCTCCATCTCCTGACCTCATGATCCACCCACTTCGGCCTCCCAAAGTGCTGGGATTACAGGCGTGAGCCACCATGCCTGGCTCCATGTTTTGTTTTTTTTTTTTTTGAGACGGAGTCTAGCTCTGTTGCCCAGGCTGGAGTGCAATGGCCGGATCTCAGCTCACTGCAAGCCCCGCCTCCCGGGTTCACGCCATTCTCCTGCCTCAGCCTCCCGAGTAGCTGGGAGTACAGGTGCCCGCCACCTCGCCCGGCTAATTTTTTTTGTATTTTAGTAGAGACGGGGTTTCACCGTGTTAGCCAGGATGGTCTCGATCTCCTGACCTCGTGATCCGCCCGTCTCGGCCTCCCAAAGTGCTGGGATTACAGGCTTGAGCCACTGCGCCCGGCCCCATGTTTTTTTTAAAAAAATAATAGAGCATCTCATTATGGGAGGAGAGCAAGGGCTTTGGATTTCACGTTGGTTTGGACAAGCCAGCAGCAGCTAGAGAAGGAGATTATTTTGTGGCTGGGACCAGCCTTGGGCTTTATCTGACAGATCAAGCCAGAAACAACTTTGTGCCTGGAACCAAACTGGCAAAAAGATGGAGAAAAAAAAAAATGCCTACAGAAGAGACGAAGGAAGAAGGACCTCTGACTATAGAAATGATATCTTTATTCTGAGCTGCTTTGCACAATGAACACAAACTCAACTGTGGGTGGCTTGGAAATGTTCACTTTTAATGTGCTCTTTTCCAAATTCTATATTTTCATAGGGAAAGCTGACCATAAAGGTAGCTAACTTATTAACCATTCGTTTATTATATGCCACACAGTGTGTTACATGCTTTCCATTTAATCCTCACAAACAACCAACAAGGTAGATACTCGGATCCTTTTTACAGATTGATATGGTTGGCTGTGTCCCCATCCAAATCTCATCTTGAATTGTAGCTCCCACAATTCCCACATGTTGTGGGAGGGACCTGGTGGGAGATCCTTGAATCATGGGGGCGGTTTACCACATACTGTTCTCATGTTAGTGAATAAGTCTCACAAGGTCTGATGGTTTTTAAGAAGTTTCCCCTTTCACATGGTTCTCATTCTCTCTCGCCTGCCACCACGTTAAGACGTCCCTTTGCTCTTCCTTCATTTTCCGCCATGATTGTGAGGCCTCCCCAGCCACGTGGAGCTATGAGTCCATCAAACCTCTTTCCTTTATAAATTACCCAGTCTTGGGTATGTCTTTATTAGCAGCATGAGAATGGACTAATACACACATAAAGATGCAGAAAATTAGAATAAATAACTTGCCTCTAGTTACCCAGAATTCAGATCCAGGTCTGGTTGACTCTCCAGCCCACTAAAATTGGGCATCATTGGTGGACCAAGAGTAGAGGATGCCAGAAGTCTAAATCTGGAGGCCAATGGTACTACAAAGAGACATGGATAGAGAGGAAAACTTTAGCCCAGTGGGCAAAAGCTTGGAAAACCTACTGGACTGATGAACATCAAATTTGGACAAACTGTTTAGAAAGCTTGGACTTCCAATAGAAGCCAATGAATAGCAAAGTGAAATTCAAATCAGGGGTCTCTGTGAGAGGGAGGGAGGGAGGGAGCTATGAGACTACTGAATGGAAAGAAAAAGCCATAAGTATTCTGATGCTGTAACAGAACAAGCCAGCCTGAGTTTCCAACATAGCCCCAAATCAAATTCCAAGGGCAGCCATTCAGGGTAGAGGTTGTGTTCAAGCAGCTGCACACACAGCAACACTGCCATGCAGTCCACTTGGGCAAGCAGCAGTGGGACTGGAGTCATTTAGCCCAAATGAAGGACATTTCCAAGCAGTACAGAAAGGCCAGACAAAAACAGGGTAAGAGA